GATGGAGCTAGGCTGGTCAGCCACTGTCAGGATGAGACCGTAAAATTACATTCAGGGCTAAGTGATGTCTCCCATTGGAGCAGCCCGGAGCGGAGGGTGCCTAAAGAGACGTCTTCGGTTGCAGAAATGGGCCAAGTCCCTGTCCCCAGCCTTAGCTCTGGGACTTAGCCGTAAGAGGGAGGTCAGCGCTGCCATCAAGACCTGGGGACACAGGATGTGGGATTCAGTTCTTAGCCTTGCTACGGGCTTCCCACGACCTGGAGAAGATCAGTGGGGACGAGATTCACGGGGGATTTAGGCCATGGAGTCTTGGTTGTTTTTCCTCTCTGACCCCGAGACGCTGCTGGTGCCAGGTTCACGGCAGCCCAGCATCAACGGAGGGGTTAAAGGCACTGCTGCTCTGGGGATTACGGATCGTATTTGCTTGTAAAGTGCTTGTGTCATTCTCGGGAACAAGAAACACCGTGGGATTTGCAGGTATTGCTCTAGGCCTGGTATAAAATAAATGGAAAAAGTGTAACCTCACTCACTCCTTCCCCTGAGAAACAGTTACTGTGAACGAATGATGACCCAGGCTCTGGAGTCAAGATTTTGAGTTGCTAATGGGTAAAATGAGGTATCTAATCTCTCTGAGAGATCGCACCACAAGGCAGCTTAAAGGATCCCTTTTTTAGCTGGTATAAGCTAAGCACGAGGTGAACTCTGTCTCAAATCCTGACCTTACGCTGTCTCCTCGCTGGAGGAACCCTATAGCCTTGTTTATATGCTCTTGGCAGTGCCGGGTTGTGCTTGGAGTTCAAAGTACTCCATGATGTGGAGTCGAGTTCCTCCAGGGCGCACACACATGCACACCCTTGGCCATGAATCACTTGTTTTCATTTTCTGCAGGCATTTCTCACAACTGCGAGTGACTTCAGATAATTCAGATAATTTTTCCGCACGTAATTCTCTGCTTCTGGCTGGCTCTCCTGGTGCTTATTGAAAAATAAGGAGACTGAAGCACAGGAGACCTGCAGCATCCAAGAGTTTAGTGGAATTAGACAGCTTAGCAGCACTCCCACGCTGGCTGGCCACAATCTGGGAATGGGACGTGGGTAGTGTAAAAATGCCACATACCCCAGGATGCAGATCTTAAAAAGCAAGTCAGACATAGCCAATATTTCTTTAAATCCAATATATAGAGAAACTCAGTAGCACGAGGGAGGGATTGCTTAAGGCACCACATACTGGGACTATCTTGAATTAAAAGTGGGAAGTCCTTCAGCCAGCCAAAACACACCAATTTTCTAGCTGCTTGGCACAACACCAAGCAACCTATGAACCCTGTTCCCAAATCTGTAAAACATTTTGCTTCCCTAACATGGAAAAGCTATAGAAAGGCACGATAAATAAATGAATAAATCATTTTGTTCAGCTTTCCTTCTCCTGGGGAATTAGGCAGTGTTTGGTGTTCATCAGTTGTCAGAGGTTTTCTTCTGAGCCTCATGATCCAAACGCACTAAGTACAGCAAATCCAGATTAAATTCTCTCGTAACAGAACTGTCGGAGAGATGAAGAGGAAGGAGCAGACAGCGGATACAGAAATGTAACACTGCTATTTCTTAGAGCACTGGTGATTTTGAGTATCCAAAAGTACTGAAAAAAAGGCTTCAATCTACTCATGCAACCTCCCCTGTTCTGGAAGAGAGGCGTCAAGCCCATCTGTTTGCATCAGGGCTGTTTCTCAGATCAGAGCCAGCAGCAGAAATAGCAGGTGGAAATGCTGGAAGGGGATGTGCTCTGTCGTTCCGGCGTTACGTGGGTCTCGTTTGCTTTGGCTGCAACTTGGTTGCCCTCGATTTTTAGTATTTGTGCTTAGGACTGAGCCTGTCTGGAGATGCCGAGTGCAAATCCAAGTGCAGCTGCAGCCAGGGACAGAACTGCCCATTTCAACTCCTTCTCTGCATCCAGTTTGCTCCCTCTCATTGGTCTTCTCTTACGTTTTAGCAAAGGAGTTTCAATCCTCTGAAAAGCTCTACTCAAGCCTAAAATAGCACAAAAGCAGCTCTTGAGAAGACCTTGCATTGCACAGAACCCCCCGGATACTCCCAGCTGCAAGGGCCTCTATAAATTATTGTTATAATTAATGTCATGGTTAATGCAAGCCCAAGCACTGATCTCTCCCAGTTTATATAGGTCCCTGGGGAATCAAGGGCATGTCCCGGTCTTTGAGATAAAAAAGCTGACCTCTAATGAAGCTAATTATAAATAGCCAATGTCCTCCTCTGATCCCCTGCATCCAGCTGCAGGCTGTGCTCGCTCAGTCCAGTGCAATGCAATGGGCCAACGCAATCACACTGAAACGGGTTTTACCCAAAGGAGAGGTGACTTCTCCCCAGGAGAAGGGCAGTCTTGAAGGAGAGTTGTCTCTCTTATGGGTTTTGGAGCTCCAAAGGGGTCTGAACCTGCTTCTGGTTTATTGGCCAGCATCTGTATTTTAGGAGCACGGGGCGAAACCAGCCTGCATGGCTCTTGGCTTTCCCATTGTAGGCTTTGATGGTCACGTTGGCTTTTGGGATGGAGCATGGACGAGGCCTCAGGCCCTCTGCAATACCCAAGGCACTAGGCCTTGGGAGAAGGCTCTTGAAAGACAATTTGCAGCATGTTGGGAAAATGTCCCGTGTTCAGTTCGGGCTCTGGCAAATGATAGTGCCCAGTGGCACCAATACTGCAGGTAGGGTCACCTCTAAGCAGGGTCTGACCCAGCCTTGAGGTTTCATGCTCCTCGTGGCCCCTGCTTTTGGCTGTCTCTGCCTCCCAGCCTCGCATCACCCATTGGGAAAGCAATGGGCCATCCCATCTCCCACGTAGCTCCTTCTCCAGCACCTGAGACACCTCCACTCAGGTGCCCGAAGGGGAGGACCAAACCTCAGTGGTCAGCTATGGAGCCCATCTTCTACTGGGGCTCCTCCACCCGGCTGTGGCTGGGTCATGCCCCTCCTACAGATTTAATCCCACTCCTCTTATCTGACCTGGGATCCTTGTCCATGACCTGGAGAGACTCCCTCACATTCCTATGTCTGCACCATGCACTAGATGGCTTGGCTTCTCCATTCCTCTTCCTTTTTTCACTGCCGATTCCCACTACAACAGTAGCACCCAGCTACTCCTCCCATTGAGGGAGGGCTGGGAGAGCATTAGTTCTATTTTCCAGACCCGTAAATCTCCCTCCTGCTTAGGCATCTCTACTTGTAATTAAGGCCAAAGCAAAAGAAAATCTATTAATAGAAAAGAAGCAAGGAACGATAGCAAATGACTTGCTTTATTTGACTGGGTTAAGCACGGGATTACAGGAGGAGTGCTTAGAAATGCCAAGAAGAGCTCCATCTTTTTTTTTTTTATTTATTCTCTGTTGTTGTTTGTTATCTGGGAATGGGAAGGATTTGCAGCAGGTCATCCAGATTAAGAAGCCTGTGGAGCAACTTGATTGGGGCTGAGCAGGGAGGAAAAGGAAAAGAAAATAAAGCCCAATAGCAGGAGCAGCAGTTTAGAAGCAGATCTATATGTTTTCCCTCACTACAGTGATAAAAACCCCAGATATAAGAGAGATGAGAGATGAGAAGTCCATAGGGACAAGGTAAAGCCGATCTGAGCAGATGGCTCCTGGCCACTTAAAACTTCTACACTGCTAAATCCCATTAAGTGCAGAGTTTAATAAAGTTCTGGATATCAAGAAACAGCTATTTAAAGCCTTGATCACCTGCCAAAAGGGGCTTTATGAGGCATATTTCCTGTCCCAAATCACTTCTCTGATCTGCCATCTTCTGGCCATGTTATCTGCTCAAGAAATGCCCCAGTTTTGTGAACAACATAGTACTACTCCTTTTTGTAGTGTATTCTGCAGCATCAGTGGTGGTCACTGGTCCAAGGCCTTTCCATGGAGGGTGACTGGAGTCAACCTAATAAAAATAGGAGTCTTGGGTTCCAGCCATGCTCTACCACAGAGTTTGGATGTATTTTTTTTGGTAGCAGTTGAGGTGTGCCTTGTGCATGTATGCATTAAAATACCAAGCCCTCAGGGCCTCAATTAACCCCGTAATCTCTGTAATCCTCAATATTTCGCCAGGCCTAGAAAAATGCTGGTTTGTAAAGCTTGAGTTTGGGCACAGCTGTAATATGATGTGATGAAATGAGGGTAACGTGCAAGTCTGCAAATGCTGCAAAGACATGGACTGCCTAACCCTTGTCTGTAATGAAGGGCTTTTTTCTTCTTAATTTCAGTAGGGTTCAGTGTCAGCTGTGAGCCCTTCACTAGGCTGAAGAAGGCTGAGAAATGTGAACTTTCTAAAATACTGCGCTTTTGTCAGGGGAAAAAGCCCAGTGTGATTAAAGACTCAAAGAGCAGTGAACATAGAGAAGAGTGATCATTTAATTCAAACAAATGACAATTTAAAATATATATACATTCAGCAGAAATTATGGCTCATTATCCCATTTCTATTGACTGGCCTGAGCTGAGCTGTCAGACAAACATTCCCGTCCATTAGGTAGAAAAGACAAAAAACTCTGAATTTTTTATGAAGTCAGAGAACTGAGTGGGTAGCAAAGACCTGGTTACCCTGGTAGATATCTTTGAGGATATTTTCCAGAGTGAACCTTTCCTTAGCCAGCCTGAGAAAATAGCCCCTGAATTAAATGTGAAGGAAAGTTTCCATAATTCATTTCTCTTTGGAAATCGCTTGAAAACCTGGCCTGTAGGTCAGGCTCAAATTTTAAGTTGTCTGCAAGGGTGTTTTAATAGTGCTGAGTTGGTTGACTGGGATTTTTCTTTGTTGTTCCTATCTTTCTGTGTGTGTGTCCTACAGAGAGAAAATGAAAACAGGCTCTAGACCCCTGCAAAGGCTGGGAAAAACAAGTCCTGCTCCCAACATCGCATCGACCATATGTTCACTGTGACTAAGGCAAGATTGTGAATTAGTCCCAGAGACAGAGGGAAAACTTGGAGCTTGAACCGTGTGGCTTAAACTCACATGAGGGGCTCTAAATAAATTCAAGGTGTTTGTCTTCAGGGATGTTGTATTTTGCTTTATGCTCCTCAAAGAGCTTGGACAATTCTTCTAAGTATTTCTGATGCACTTGATCAACCTCTTCCTCAGAGGGGTTGCGCTTCTTCTGCACAGGAATCGGCTTTCCAACTGCAAAAAAAAAAAACCACAGACATTAGAAGGAGACATTGGTGTTGGGCACATCTGGCTGGTTTGCACATCTTAGTACAGGGTTACTTTCCATGGGAGGATTAATGTGACCAGTCATACTTGTCCAGGAGGTTGGAAGGCAGCAGATAGGGAGCTGCAAGCTCAAATCCCAGCTCGGCTTTTGGTGAACATCATCCTAACATCTGGGCTTGGCTTTCTGAGCCGTTCCTGTGTTGCCCTGGGAATCTCCATTGCAGATGGGGAAACGGAGGCATCCAGGCTGGGTTGCCTCTCTTGTTCTGGATCTCCCTTAATTGTGTTTGTCAAGCGGCAATGGGTTTCCTCACTAAGGCTGCTCTTCGTTGGACTAATGAGGAGTCCTTGTGACACCGTGTGGCTTGTAAAGCCATCGAGACAAGGCAAACAGGTTGTAAAACAATTAGAAGTAATTGCTGGCTGTCAAACCTAATCAACAAGGGCCAGCTCTGACCTTTCCAACCAGCCTCATTAATTAGTCTCATCCAGAGCGTGTGCTTGTGGGCTGGGTAGAGCAGTGCTGAAACCAGCTGAAACTTCTCCAAAACCAGGGAGTTTCCTGAAATTTGTTCTCCCACAGGCATCGCAATACATAGGAGTGCAGCTCTACAAGGGAGATGGGTTTTGTCACCAGGGTTGTCTTTACTCTGGGCTTTCTTACCCCAAGCCATGGTCCCAACCCACAGGTTGTCCACCCTCTATGTTATCCTCTTTACTTTAAACCTGCTGTTCTCCAACTGATGTCCAGTCCCCTCATTAAGCTGAGCTGCTGAAGTCACTGCACAGAGCGCTATGGTTTCGAGCTACCTGCTGGCTCAGGAAGTCCTTTCCCATCATGTTTTTAAGCTTTTACTTACATCTGCTGCCAGAGACTATCACTATCTTAACAAAAACCAAGATGTTTCTCCGGGTGGCAATTTAGCCAGGAGGAAAAGCAACTCAAAATGCATTTCTTCACCATGCAAAAGCTCTGCTTTTGTGGTAGGAGGGACTCCGTGCCGAGGAGGGACTCACCCACGGTGTAGACGGGTCGGCGGTAGGGGACGAGCCCGAAGCTGTACTGGAAGATGCCTCGCGCGTGGAAGAGGGGCAAGGAGACACCCATGATCTGCTGGAGCTGGTACTGCAGCCGCCGCAGCCAGGAGCCCCTGGGGTTGCTCACCTGCTCGTAGAGCTCGTTCTCGCCGAAGGAATAGACAGGGACCAGAGGGGTGCTGCGGGGCGACGACACACGACTGCTCAGCACTGGGGTGCAAACACCTTCCCCTTCCTCATGCCGGCGCCAAACCCGCTTTGACCAGCCTCATGCTGGAGCATCCCTCCCTTCACCCTCCCCTTCATCACCCGTGCTCCATGGCCAAGCGGATGAAGCCCTTCCTCTTCCTCAGCAGCAAGAGGAAGGAGCCCGGCCGGGCGTCCAGCGCCTCCTGCGCCCCACCGATGACGATGGTCAGCGAGTTGCCTCCCTCGGGCCGCCGCAGCACGTAGGATGCGCTCTCCTTGTCAGAGGGCACCAGGCCTGGGTGGTAGAGAGGAAGGAAAAGCAAAGATCTGTAAAATCTGCAGGACTTTACAAGTTCAGTGTGCTTGGCAGCCTTTTTCCCGTTTCTCCAGCTCCAGAGGCTCAAGACCTCATTCTCCCAGTGTTTGTCTACTCTGGTAATCTCAGCCCAGCTCCTCCAAGAAGTGGAGCGCTCGTATTGTGTGAATATCCCATTTCCCCTTTGCTATCCAACCCAGAGGCAAAAGAGAGAAATCCCAGAAAAAAATAAAAAAAGAAAAGAAACCAAAAACTAGCTGTAGTCGAGTCCCAGGATGGAAATTTCCTTCTATTTGTTGTCAAATGAAGCCATGTCCAACCCTAAATCCATCCAGAGAGAAACATCAAAGCGCAGAGGGATTTCAGGGCATGTGGCTATGTTAAAGTGAAACTTAATGCAGATTTGGCCCCCTGATTGCAGATAGTGGTCTTATATCTCACTGTTTTGACTCTTCCTTATCCATGTAAATATTTTGAGTGGAAAACCATGCAATGATCACAAGGAGGTATATCAGGTAGAGCTCAATGCTGATGTTATTCTTGAATCCTGCCTTTGTCTCTACTATGCGACTAAACAAGATCCATGTTCATTTTAGGCTAAAAACGAAGCTTAAAAATGGTTTATCTTTAGCATATGAATAACCCCACAGCATAGGGCAAAGTTCAGGCTTGCCTGCTGCTGGTCTGGAGATTTTTCTTGCTGGTCACAAATAAATAAATGAGTAAAAGAACAGTATATCCAATGGAGCGATCATCGACAGAGGGAAGAAGGCACCTCTGATCTCTCTGGCGTATCTCTCCCCTCTCTTTCTGTTTAATTTTTACCTACTCTTTTGTATTTTGTCTTCCTTCTCTGCCATTTCCTTCGGAAAGTTGTGGTTTTGTCCTCGAGCACACAACATTGCTCTACCCGGATGTTATTTGGGTGAGAAATAAAGAAATAAATATGGAGGTCATGGCAGGTTATATAGGCAATGTAGACCATGGAGGTCTGGTATGTCACATGGTGGGAGTAAATACTAGAAAGGCAGTTTTTAACATCAAATTGAGCATGTTCAACCTCTGGTGCCACCTCCAGCAGCTGTGTCCATGCATTGATCTGAAGATGGAGGCAACCAGACCCTTGGCTCCTTTTCCCAAGCCTCCCATTGGGGTATTCAACCTCCTCTCCCCAAAGTGCATCCCACTCTCCTGCGCTTCCCATGTGTTGCCGGGGTCATCCCCCCGTAGGCCGCTCCACTTACCACCACTCATCAGGTAGTCCCTGAAGAAGGGGAGGTGAAACCACATCGAGAGCGTCATCACGGGCCCGGGAGGAGCGTGGAGAAGCCTGATGCCTCCGTGCAGAAGTTGACGAAGGCCCCCATCGCCAGGACACCATGGGGGTGGAAGCCCAGCAGGTAGTTCTTGCGGGGGTCCAGCTCCGCTGTCTTCACCAGCTGGACCCACAGACAGGGACAAGAGGGTGCAGCATGTTAGTGCCATCGGCTACAGAGGGTTTCCCTAGGGGCCTTTTCGAAGAGAGGATGACCGATCCAAGTGGTTTTTTTACTGAAATGCATTCTTTTGCCTCATTCCCCTCTACTGAGAATGGCCAAACATGTCATTTCCAAATGGCACAGTTCTTTGTGTCATTCTGAGCCAGCTTACATGTTGCTGGGAACCCCCAAAAACTCTTCCAGGACATTTTCTGGTAAGATAATCGATTTCACATTTTCCCCCCATTCAGTCCCCACCAGCAACGATGGCTTTGGGGGAGGATCGAGGGAAGGCAAAGAGGGACAGTGTTGGGACATGACCCCTCCTGCCAAAACCCTGGATTTGCAAAAACTGAATCAGACGAAGGGAACCCCTAGCCAACACAGTGCCTCTCCTAGTAGCCATAAGTGCACCCAGGGAAAAGTAATAAAAAAAAATATGTATAAAAAGAGAGATTTTCCCCTATGACTGTCTTAAGACTGCATTTGTTTCCAGCTCTGCAGGTTTGCTCAGCTGGATGTATTTCTGCTGGTTTAACTTGGCTGCCCTCTATGATTTGAGCACTCAGATATAAATTTCTAACAGCATCCTTTGGCAATGAGTCCCACAGATCGCTACCAGTCATGTGAAAAGCTGCATTCCTGGATCTTTTAGATCTGTTCCCTGCATGAGAGACGTTGTGATCCCCCCTGAGATCATCTATTGGAGGAGGCAGTGAAGAACCAGCCTGACAACCCTCTAAGTGTCTGGTGTGACAACTCAGACTTGAGCTGCACCGTTGAGTAGACCTCAGTATCCAAAGAGTGGCCAGAAAGGACATGGTGCTATCAGGATCAGTCAAAAATTGAACCTTGGCTGGCACAGGTGCCTCTACATCCATCCTGTGGATGTTGTGGGGTCTCACAGTGCTGAGAAAGTCAGGACTTCTCCAAGACTAGCTGTTACAAAGCCAAACAGCTCAAAGGGGACTTTGCAGAATCAAGGAATCACAGGTGAGGTTGGAAGGAACCTCTGGAGATCGTGTACTCTAGCCCTCCTGCTCACACAGGGTCACCTCACTCTTTACCCAGGATCCTATCCAGATGGCTTTGAGTATCTCCAAAGACAGAGACTCCACAACTTCTCTGGGCAACCTCATGCATGAAGGTCTTGTGCTTCTTAACGAGTTGCTCCTTCCTCTGGTCTCTGCCATGAGCAGCTAATGGAGCGTATGCTTTCCTAGAAGCCACCAGAGCAGCATGTTAATCATGAGGGTGTATTTTACATTCGGGGCTAATATCTCATCTGTCCTAAGGCAATGTTGACTCTACACATGAGCCCATTCAAGCACCTGTTCCTAATGAGGACAATGGACAAACAGAAAGGCCTGGCCTCGGTGCTGAGGTTTACATCTAGGAAGAGGGGCAGATGGCTGAATTATGAAGTATCCAGGGACCCTGCCACGATTTGCTCATTCTGCAGTAATCTCAGCTGGCATCAATGTTTGCTGCATTCATCTTCTGCTTCCAAGCAGCCTTTCATCTCTGTGTGATTTATAGTCAGGCAGGCAAGATGGTCAGACGTGTCAGACGTCACTAAGTCTGATAGTTTAGGTAGACTCTCAGAGCAGGACCAAGAATGGGACATGGGTTTGTTATGTTGGCTGAATGTGGAGCTCAGATTGTTTCTATATTTGCATTTTGATCATTATAGGCACACCGACTCAAGGGAAACAGGAAAGGGAAGGAAAAAATGACTAGGGGATGTATTAGGAAAAGCTGTGGGGATGATCACAACCAAGGAGCTGCATATCTCTTTCTGACAAATGGTGCTCTGTATTTAGAACCAACCTCAATTGGTCTTGGATTAAACTGGTCTTTTTAATCAGACTCAAAAAAAATACATTTTGGAACCTAATGACATTCCGCACACCTAGCTCCCTGCTCTAATCTATGAGCATCTACAGTGTAGGAGTTTGGCCACTCAAGAATTGGTGGCTTTGGTCAATGCTTCTGCAAGTGGTGTGCCCTGCAGTAGTGCTGACCCCATCCCAGTGACATGGTTGAATTCTTTGCCTCTCTCAGCATTGTGAACTGGGCTTGGTCCATGGCACAAGCAAAAGAGTGGAGGGAAGGTCTCATCTTTGCCACACTGTCTCTTCATGCCTGGGCAACACAGTCTGGGTGAGGATTTTGCTGAGAAATTCAGGTTGTAGCCACCTAGGCATGTTTTCCCGGCCAGCTTCAGCTGTGAGTAGAGCTTGCAGTGTGCACAGAGCTCCCTGTTTGGTTTGCACTTTCATCTCTCTGTAACACCTCTCCTATCACGGGATCAAAGGCTGAGAGTCCTTCACAGGTTTGCTGTCATAACAACCCAAGGAGATAAGGCAGCGGTGTTGTCCTCATGTGGCAGGTGTGAGACCAACACACACAGAGATCAAGGAATTTGAATAAGGCCAAGGAGGAAATCTGCAGCAGAGAACAGACTCAAACAAAATCTCTTGAACTCTGGATCAGGCCCTTGGTCACAAAATCACCCTTCTACTGGAAAGTGTTTAACACAATAACTCAATCCTCTGATTTAGATTGTTCCCGCTGTTTATTCTTTCCTTGTACCTCCTCTTGTCAGAGGTCAATTGGTCGATGACGTGCAGTGTTCCCAAACCGTGAGGAAAGTTAATACCTGACACCGCACAGCCCAGGTTTTATATCACCCAGCCTTGAACTACGTAGCTTGGCTGCTCCCAGGACTAAGGCTGGGGTTGAGGTACAGTGGGGAGGGACTCTCCTCCCTCCTGGGTTCGTTGGGTTACCATTTCCTCATCCGCACGGTGGCATTTGCTGCTCTTTTTTTCCTGGGTGAGTTGAGCTTTTAATGATTGCCCGAGGACTTAGGAGTCCGGCCAAGCAAATCTGTGCGTAAACATCTAAGCAGGACAACTTCTTGACATAAAGTTTCTTGGTAAACTAAGACCAGCTTCTTATCTCAGAGGGGTCCGAGGGAGGCCAAATGAGTGTGAATGACCGGTAGCCTGAAGACAAAGAGCTGTGGCTACGGCTGTGCTTTCCAAGCTAAGCTGTGGGTTTGCTGGCTTCCCCAAGCTTTCCCTTGGATGCAGGTTTGCGTTCTGCAGGTGGTGGAGTGGTGGAAGAGACTGGAGGGTGGAGGAGATCATGGAGAGCCAGGGGTCTCCTCTTGCTTTCTGGGCCCTTTTGCGTTTGTAGGGGAGGAGAGCACAGTTTGGAGATGGAAAGGGGATGAGATGGCTGCTGGCAGCAGCAGTAGCCCCTCATCAGTGGTGTTGTGAGGCCTGGCTGGAGGGTGCAGGGCTTTCCAGTTGGGTGGTCTTGGCCTTTCTAACAAATAAATTTAACCTTTTATTTTAAGGGACAGCGTCTACTTTTTCACTTGGATCTCGATCCATAATTTGAAGTGTAACTCAGGGTTTACAAATGGTGTCTGCAGCAGGACGGAGAAATCCTGCCCTAAAGGTCTAGGGACGTCTCTGCAGATAATAGAGGGAGCAGAGGGAACCAACCAGAATACTGGTGTTTACACTGCAGGGATAATGGCATGAAGGTCTCCCAAACACTGAAGGACTATCCACTGCTGCAGGCTGGGAGGGACTAGGATACTGCTGGGATGTTGGGGAAACCTGGGCAAACCTTTCCCTTGAATCATCCATGCTGTTTATTTATTGCATGGGAGAAAAAAAAAAAAAAAAAAAAGCTACAGAGACTCTGGAAAGGAAAAGAAAACCATCACTTGGGCCACCAGCAGAAATAGGGACTCACTCCAAGCTTGAGATGGAGATGTCTAAATATAGGTGTAGAAATCAGGTCCTTCAAGGAGAGTTTGCTTGATATTTAGCACTCCAACTAACTTCTTAGTAACCGAAACTTCCTTTTGCTCTACCTACTCAAAGTGTCCATCCAAGACATGGTGGAAATCTGCCTCTGGTTACTTCCCCCAGAGACATGGCTGAGTGCTCCATGCACTCATCTGCCGTGCTGGAGAATATGTCTACCTTCAGGGGCTGTGATAAGAGCACATGTACTGGTGAGGCTTTCAAGCAAATTAATGCAAATTAATTTTAAACTGGATTAGTTAAACTGTATTAACACCCCAAGTAGATGCTCTTATCTGGAATTAAATTGGCCTTCTTTTGGTGTGTGTTTTGGTTTTTAATTCATTTTGGAGTGGAATTAAGCTAATTGGAATTAGGGCTTTGTCAGTTCTGTGTGAATATATCAGCACAGGAATTCAACACTGATTTAATGAGGCTGCTTTAAGTCACCCTTTGAGATGACTGGGATTTCCTGCCCCAAAAACTGGGGGAAAGGAGAAGCCTTATTCCATGCATAAGGCTGGTGTACAGACACCTGAGGAAAGTTCAGTTCTTTGTGAGTCCAAAGGGCTGTAGAGCCAGTGCTCAACACGAGCACGCCCAGGAGATCAAGCAACAGCCAAGACTCAGCCAGTCCTGTCTGTTGGGCTGGAGGGATTTAAAATTGGCTAACTAAGAAACTAGAGCATCAAGGTGAGATGCAAAGGGCATCACATGATGCCTGTGTACCAGGATGACCCATGGCGTGACATCCACAGGAGTGAAGGACTATGTTATGAGGGGACACAAGGGCTGCATGGAGTTACCCCAACCGTCATTTGCCAAGCAGAGGAGGATGTGGTCAGGACAGCAGGTGAG